TACGTTGCGTTTAATACGTGATGATTAGGATGTCAAAGATGCACCACGCTCTGGCAAGCCAATATCGAAAATATCGATGAAATTATGGAAATCGTCGAGTCCGGCAGTCACGTAAGCACTTTTTCGATTGCCCAAGAACTAAGCATTGCACAAAAAACCATTTGAAAGCATTTGAATAAAGCTGGATGAAGAACGAAGCTCGATGTATGGGTGTCACACGAGTTAATGGGTTACATGGGTTTCGTCGAGCAAAAAATCCTCTATTTTCAATAGTTTTTTTTTTTCATATAAAAAATTAAATATTTCATTCAAACTTTTTATTATTCCGAAGATACATATTTGATAAAGATTTTCGAAACTTGGTCATTACGACATCATTTCCGGCAGTCTCTCGGAGAAAAGGTTCATCCGCGTTGACAGCAGAACTTCTGAAGGATCATCAAAAGCAAAAAGCAAAAAATACGTGTTTGAACTAAAATCATTAACTAGGTATTGTATGGAGAAAATACAAAAAAAGTGAAAATCGTATTTTTCGCAGACGTTTTTACAAAAAAATGCAAATTTCGGTCAAACTTTGCGATTTTTTTTGTTTTTTAAATAGTTGTAATTGAACAAAACAAAAAAATTCGTCGTTTAAACTCTTGTAAATTATATCTCGAAGACTAAGATCAATTTGAGAATTTAGGATAATGTTCTAGAGATGTTATGAATTAAATAAGAAAAAAAAAATTTTTATTTTTAAGCTGTGAAATCCATGTCACCCCTTAACGTTAAAAATCCACATGGCCTGAGTTTCCAGCAGTCAATCGCTGCAGCATCGCAAAAAAATCAATTCGTTTCTGAAATGAATTGGTTACTGGTGATGATTACCACAGCGTTAAGCGAAAGCAGATTTTGCTTTGTGTTTGGTGGGATAGGCAGGGAATCATGCGCTATGAGTTGCTCCCCTTCACCCAAGCTCTTAATTAGGACCTGTAGTGCCAGAAATTCTACCGTCTAAAGGAAGCATCCTCCTTATAGTGCGGATGTGTTACGAAGTTTGTCGATATGGGACTACTACAACATATAGCTGCCATAAAAACTGAACGATAAAAAGAAAAATCGTTAACTTCGGTTGAACCAAAGCTATATTACCCTTACCAAATAGAAAATATTCCTTACAATAACTTGATTTTGATCGGCCAGTTTGTATGGCAGCTATATGCTATAGTACTCTGATATTGGCGGATCCGAGAAATGAGCAGCTTTTTGGGCAGGAAAGGACGTGTGCATAATTTCAGATCGGTATCTCAAAAACTAGTCCCTCGCGTATATACAGACAGACGGACATTTACATTTATATTTTATAGGGTCTCCAACGTTTCCTTCCCGGTGTTACAAACATCGTGACGAACTTACTGTGAGAACTAAATGTCCAGAGGGAATTTAGCCCACACAACACATGAAGACGCACCCTGTTAAATAAAATCAACGCAACGAGTATTGGGCTGCAACGGGAAAATCACGCCACTTTTAGCAACACACGCCATCCTAAAGCAACATGTTGCGACACAACAGTTA